TACCAGGCAGCAAATAAGTAGCAAATATATTAAAAGTAAACAGGGGAAAGGGTTAACTAGAAAAGAACATTATATCTCTATCTGAACCTGTTTTAACAGGACTCAAGGAACGTTTTTAATCTTCAAGTCAATAAAGGTTAACAAAATAAAATAAACTTCTGAGTTCCTGTCTTTTCTAGAACTTCATCTGTCCTGCTTAAGGTATTTTAGAGATATTATCAGTTCTGTGCCATCCAAGCCAACAGGAAAATTTATTTAAACATACCAAAAGTAGAAAATTACTTTATGGAAATACCTAAGTATGGCTTCTGGGTGGTATCTCATTTCACCTAGACCAAAACCAATATAAAACCAGCTTCCAGATAATGATTTCTAGCCCTGATAAGCAAGAAATCTCTCACGTATCTGAGATAAAGGACAGAAGATATTTATAATGGCATTCACAGATGGCTGAGAAAAGACTAAGAATCATAGAGACACTAAAGTTGGAAAATACCTCCAAGATCATCAAGTCCAACTTCCAATTGAACACCACCCTCAGCCACTAGGCAGGCACCTGGTCATAAAATACCAGGTTGGCCAAGCAGGACCTGCTTTTCCTGAATCCATGCTGGCTGGGCCTCATCCCCTGGACGTCCTGTACCTGCTGCATGATCCTATTCAATGTGATCTGTTCCGTAACTTTTCCTGGCACTAAGGTCAGGCCGACAAAGCCAGAGTTCTCCAGATCCTCTTTCTGACCATTCTGGTAGCTGGGTGTCACCTGGTCAACCTCCAGTCACCTGGGACCCCCACAGTTAGCCAGGACTGATGAAAATTGATGGAGAGTGGCCTGGCCAGCTCTTCCACCAGCTCCCCCAGCACCTCCATGTGAACCCCATCTGGCCCCAGAGACTTGTGAGTTTCTAAGCGGCACAGCAGGAATAACTACTTCCTCCCGGATTGCAGGGGGTCTCTTCAGATCGCTATCCCTGTCAACCAGATCAGGGGGCTGGTTGCCCTTGGGACAACCAGTCTTTCTGTTGAAGACTGAGGCAAAGAAGGCATTAAGTACCTCAGCCTTTTCCTCATCCTTGATTACAACACTCCCCTCCATATCCAATAAGACATTCCATACTAGCTGTTCTGATCCCAAACATTCACCTCTGAAGACCTATTTCCATGATCAAGATGCAGTCTCTACTTGGACAATACATCCTTTGAAATCCTACCATCATTAAATTTTCAAAGGTTTTTTTTTAATTGGACTAGAGCTGAACAACTGGGACTGAGCAGCCTGATATCACCATTTATTCTAACAGTCCACTGGCTAAACTCCATCATTTTTAATTTTCTCATGGTTCAGTACAGTAAAGCAAATCTCCATAGACATTTCATGAAGCCATGCCCTCTGCAAAAAAGAAGAACATCCAAAAGATATACTAACATTACCATTTCTTACACTGGTATCAAGGAAAGCTAGTTCTGCATTTGACCTAAATGTTTAGTCAACCAGAACTTTAGAGTAATTAGAGATCTCATATAAAAATACATAAAGAGATAAAAAAAGAATTTTTTCCAAATAAGATCAGGACTCACCATCACTACCATATTGGTGGTCTCAAGTGATTAAAAGCTATATTAACTTGCTGCTCAAACTCACACTCAGGGTATGAATTTCTATACCACTCACAATACTAGAATGTGTTTTGGCTCATATTTTCTACACAATATGGACATTGGCAGATCAAGCCACATGGCATTATGAACTAGAACCCTTATGCCATCTCTGCTCAATGAAGGAGACTGATCCACAGACAGCTTCTGAACACTTAAGAAAACTCCTCAGATTCTTTAAAAAAAAAGAAAACCAACAACAGAAAAATCCCCACAAAAACCCAGCCACATTATTCTAAAAATACAAGTGCCTGACCTCTGGTTGGTATTTGCACGGCTGAGCTCTTAGTGTATTACTCTGTTGAAGGTATTTTCAAGAAAACCTGAACTTCAAAGCAGTTCAGTAGATATTCTACATATCCAGTGACTGTGAACATTTTGAGATAACTGATTACTATTTTTATGGTTTGGAAATTATTTCAGAAGGAACAATCCCTCAAAAATCTCATGGTGAAAAAACCTGGGTGGGAGAGAAAACAACAATATATTTTCCTCTTGCAAAATGTTTTCACAAGTATCTTTCTATTTTCTTATCAGCAGATTTGTGGAAGTTTAAGTTCTCATCTTGACTTGGACAGCTGTTACATTTTATTTATTTTACAAAAATGCCCAGAGGCAAGAAAGCAGCTTTTCTAAAGAAAAAGGGTAATTTTGAAATTTCAGTCATAGCTTGGAACACTAACAGTTTTTGCTAAGTTAAACGCTTGTTTCAAGCCAGTATGTAAAAATATAAACCCAAAGAAACTTCAGACTCCTTATCTGCAAAAGATGAATTAGCATTAAAACGTTCACTGCTCTTAGATATTATATCCAATCTGTCTGCAAACTGCAAACTTGTCAAATCCAAGTCTTAATGTCATGCCCCAGTTGTACTTTCAGGTACAATATTTCTCAAAAATAATATTGTATGCTACTACCTCCAAACCCATTTATTTTACACACACAGTGATGGAAAACTATGTGCAAAAGTAACCAACCAGGACTAAATGGGTTTAGTTTCATTTGGTGCATGAGTGGCTTACACATAAAAATTCTATTAATTATATTGTAAATCCCCTGGCACAGCAGGTTGAGCAGACTCACCCTGAAGACAGTTATCAGAAGAGATAACTGCTGTACCATGAACCATAAAATGGTCAGCAGTTTCATGGTACTTATTCCTTGTGAAATATGGAGGGGAAAAAAGGAGAAGAGGCTGTAGAACACATTCAGAATAGATTAAGGGAAAACCAACAACACCGGGCAAATTTCCCAAGTTCGACCCATACACTTAAAAAGGAGGTATGTTACTACAACCTGCATTGACTAAAGAGTTGGTAAAGTTTCAGCTTGTCCAGAAGATGCTAATCACCACCTCTTCCTCTCCACTGCTGACCTTATTGAATTCCTTTTCTGTAGTAAGATACAGAATTCAGTCTCAAGTGCCAGCTGCTGCTGCAGATACAACTTTGTGATGTCCTTATATAAGAATTCCTCAGGTTGGATATTTTCTGCTTTTTATCTGTACTTGATTTACCAAACCCACAAATAGTCATAACCATGATTTGTATGTCTCAGTGAGGACTCTACTGCCTTCCTGTATATGGAGTATGTCTTGGCAAAGCAGGACTCAACAATTTCTGCATAGCAGAGGTCCCACTGCAGTAACACTGGCCAAACCTGCATCTTCTTCTTGGGTACTGCCAACACTTCCTGACCAGGAACTGAAAGCCACATATGCTTTACCACTTAATAGTTTACATCTACATCTCTTCAACATTTTGCCAAGATTTCTGCATCATCATTCCCTTGTGTTGATACCACTTCATTTGTTCTCCAACATTCAGACCTCTGGGGCTTTCCCTGGAAACTTCTCTGACAGTCATAATTCCAGATTCTTATCCTCAGCTATGTAATGCTCTTCACAACACTGCCCTTCCATATTTGTTATTGAATCCCTCTCTGATACTGCCATCAAATTTGCTCTCCTGTTCTCTTCTGTGAATGTGAATGTAAGAACATGCATTCTTCTGCATGTAAGGCCACTTAGTGCAAGCACTTGCACTCGAGCCTGTCTTATGCCACCTGAATGGAGCATCCCCTCCTAAGCCACAGGCACTGCCCTGCTCTCCTCCCCTGCATCTCTTTCTCCTCACATTCCCTGCAAAGCTCTGTAGCACAGAACTAGACAAAATACACAGCCTCTCAGAGAGACACTAAATTTGCCTAGAAGTTAAAAGGAAATTTTTACATTATTCAGAACCTTTAGTTTGTATCTTAGTTATCTACAAAACTTGTAGCATGTTGCTCTCACTGCTATCCTCTACTTTCTTTTTTATTTATTTAAGTAGTTTTCCAACTCCTACTGAGTTTCAACTGAAACAATATTTAAAGCAGATCACTCTCAGGCTGGTGACTTTATGATGTGCAGCCCGAGCACCAAGCAGAAGAGGGCACCCTGGCAGTTAACAGAACATCAAAATCAGCTGTAAAAGCATGTTGTGACTTTAGATAATCTTACTGGCTGAAAAAAAAAGTAAAATCCAATTAAATCAAATTATATAAACAAAACAGTAGAATGAAATAAAGCTGCAAATTCAAAATATTTAACATAGTTAACAGAAGAAAATAATCCATGGAACATACTGTTATGGGAAAAATTATAAACATGTAACCAAAGAGAGTTACTATATCATCTGAACAATGTAACCAAGCGTTTTCTAATGAAGCACAGATGTAAAGAGTGATCTAGCACAGCCAATCCATTCGAACTTACACTCCTGTATTCCTCTACTTCTCTGTTAAAATAAACATGACATTTAGAAATTAAAAGAACCTTCTCATTTCCTCAATTCAACCATGTTCTAACTGACTGGATTGTAACTACAAGGTGATAACATTGTTATTATTAAAAATATTAAATGCATATATGTCAGGAAAAAAGCTAATACATGCATACATTATATTTGTTTATAATTCACTAAATATTAGCTACATTTTACATGAAATCCAGAAGTATATTTATTAGAAACCCACTGGCCCTCTGCATTGTGGAAGCCCATGCATGGCATGAACACTGCTGGGGAAACGGAATGGTTTGGTTAGGAAAGCCAGCTTTATACAGCAGAGCAAAATCACTGTGGAACCTGCTTCCACCCACAATGGAAACTTTACACTTTGGAGTCACTGAAATCTTCCCAGACATTTCCTACTCACGTTACTGTCCTGCAGACACTTCAACATGCAGGGTAAATGCAGCTAATAAGCATAATTAGCTCAGACAGTGTATTTTAATTTAGTTTTGCACTAAAGACTAATTGCCTACTCAGCGAAGGGGAAGTGGAACATTTTTTTAAGATGCTTACCCGAGGGCCCTGATCACCTTGATCTCCCTGCAAAGTGGAAAGATGAGATGATAGGTTTAACACAGCATCTGTGTGCTACCCAGCTCTCTTACATAATCTAACATTTCACTGCATCAATACAAACAGTCTCTTGAGTTCATGCTGGGAGGGCTTTCCAGTCATCTTGTAAGAATCGCCCGAACATCAACTCACCTTCTCGCCTTTTGGACCAGGAGGGCCCTGAAAGAAACAAAGGCAAAGATTATTTACTGATGATGATGAAGCCCTGGGACACAGCAAGAAACAGGTCTGTGTCAATCTGCAATTTTTTCCCAACAATATATTTCCTTATAATTTTTAACTCCAAATGCCAGTGCTATTCCAGAGATGGTTTCTTCACTGTACTAATAATAGGAACTGCACACTATTTCTTTTTGCTAATGTGTTGAATCAGTCTACTTAGACAAGCAAAACTATGCCTGAAATGGCAAAATAGCTACAGATTTCATTTAGGGACAATAGTTTATCTCCTATCAGATAAAAAAAAAAAAAGTTTTCTTAGACTGTAAAAGTTCTTTGCTAGAGCACTTAATAAATTCAAATACATATAAATCTGTCGTATTTTGGCACCCTTCTTGTATTAGATTGCCAAATAAAAATGGATTTGAAATTCTAAAAGTAGGGTTTTCATTCCTTTTTTTGGCAATACTGATGTTTAGTCTCAAGCAGACTTAAGCAGTTTAGGCAAAATGAGCCCTTTGTATAACATGATTTTGTAGGAGTATTACTTTTTGTTACTTACCACCCAACAAACAGCAAGGTGACAGAATCACAAATAGGAAGTCCTTTCCTATTGCATTTTTATTGAGCACTTTGCAGAAAGCTAGCAGCAGGTTTCTAAACCACCAGTTTTTCAGGTTAGTATCTTGTGAATAAAATGCTATCAGTCTGCAAAAAACTGTCTGCTTACACAGTGCAGACTCTACCTCCAGCTTTCTGAAAGATATGCAGGTGTTTCATTACAAAGAAGGACCTGAGATACATAAGAAAGCAGCTGTAAACAGAGAAGGAGCCATTCAAGCCAGCATGGTTCACTGTGATAACACAAAGAGAGCGTGTGGCAGTGTGTGTGTGCGTGTTTGTGAGGGTTTATGCAGAACAAGAAAAGACTGTCACTAACAAGACCAGTAAAAAACTCCAGTGGTTCACATAAATACAATGGAATGGAGGTCAGTCTGCTGTGTATTAAAGATGTGATCAACTACAGGCAAGCCTTTGAGAATCCCTGTTGTAGCCAATTTTCTGCTTAGTTTTAAGGGCTTCTGATGCATGCCAGAGGAGAGCATCTGCTGCTGAATCAAAGAAATTGAAGCATATGCCTCTCTTTCCATGGCCTGCCATCTCTTCTGTCTGCTGCAGAGGACACAGAACCAAGGCTGCTTCCTGATGTCCCCACGTCTCCTTCAGGAAGGACGGTGCTCACTGCCAGCTGAGTGGAAACTCTCTGCTCAATTAACTATGACCCCTGCCCACTTTGCATTGCCCTGCAAGCACTTGGCCTCTTTAAAAACAAATTAAACACAGTAATTTAATTAACAGATACAACCTGGCTGCACCTTTAAGGTCTCTCCGTGTCTTTTTTCTAATGCTTTAGGCCCCACTGTCCTTTCGCAGTTCACATAAATATATACTGAAAACTAAGTGCAGCACTGTCAACCTTTAGCTACAGTCTCCACATACAGGTACTGTGACATGACATTACAGTAGAGCAGGTCTGCTTTAAAGCTTACACATACATGCCACTGAGAGTGTGAATTTGTGAACTCATACCATCAGTAATTGCAAGATGGGAAGAACTACAATCAGTCGGTGCTGGTTGTTGCTGCCTTCTCCAGAGTGAATGCGAAGCACAAGGGTTGTGCTCACATGTTCTACCTCCTTGAATCATCAAGCCATTGCTAGCTCTGAATATCTCACTGGCTGCAAACTGCAAATAGCATGACCCCTACCTGCTACAGTCAGAATCCTATTTCTCAAGCCTTAGGCATGAAATTATAAGGTAACGTGACACGACTGGGACTGTAAACAGATGTTGTCTTGTGGGAGCTGCTGCTGCCTTCATTTACATGCTCAGTGCCGTTCTTACACCCAAGAGTGGCCCTGCTTCTGACGGGCTTTGGCTCATAACTTTCCTGAAGCGTGCTTGCCACAGCTCTGCCTGTTGGTAGAAGCTACAACAGGACAGATCACATCAGCTGCCTAGGGGGCTCAGCCTCCAGATCTGCAGAGCTCCTGCACTGTTTCCCTGGCACGACTGCTGGCAATTATGTTCAGCCATCACCAGTGCACAGGTGGCCCCTTTCTCTACCCTGCATATTTTCCTCTGCTAACAGTTCTCTGAAAGTACAAACTATACCCAAACATGCTTTTTAATAAGACTGAATCATACATCTTTTTTTTTTCCTCCTTTTTCTGTGCAGGATTTTCTGAAAACAGTCTGTGCACATCATAATAAGATTTTGCTTTGTTTTTTATTGCTTAGTGTTTTCGCTCCCTGAGTGGCACACATGGTCATCTCTAACAAGTCACCCTTCCAGCACACAAATTTTTCATAAAAGTCTTCATAAACATCTCACAATTTTATTGTACCATGGGTGAAGAACAGCTTTTCAAAAGCGTACAAAAGCACTTCTGGTGTGAACATTCTCACAAGTCTCTTTACTTGTATTTGAAATGCTTTTACTTTCTGCAAGAGTCTTGAAAAACAAACAAACAAATGCAAATAAAAATGGTTCTTTTGGATGCAAGTGAAGAGAACCAGCGGGGTTTCATCGAAATAAAAATTAATGGAATACTTTCATGGCTTGTTCACCCATCTCTGGCTTTTCCCCAATGTTTCAATTGTCCTCTATTGTTTTTGCAACTTTAAACAGAAAATTCCTATCCTCAGCCTTTGACATCTTCTTTCCATTTGTGCTGAGAAATTCTCCCAAGGTTTTTTACTGCAGAGTTTATTAGTGTGTGTACACTGAGTGGAGGCAGGGAGGAAAAAAAAATCTGAGGGAAAGTTGGATTTGTGGGGGTGGGGTGTGATTAGGAGACAGATTTGTTTAAAGGACGGCAAGGTTTCTTCTGTTTAAGGGTACAGACACAAAGCACAGAGTGAGTAAAATAACACTAGTTTTGCAGGCCACAGCATGGACTTGCTGCTTTTTTTCCCAGGGAGACTTCTGTGCTTTCGTTTATGAGATGGCAGAGATCAAGCCACGAGCTGCCGAACAAATGTGAAAGCATTTTGTGTAAGTTATATGAAACGTCTGAGGTCAGAGCATTTCTGAAATAACTTCACAGTGTTTTCACTGGAAACAGAGGCTCTTTTCTCAAAGTGTAATTATCTACTCCAGACTACTATACATTTCCAAGGAGAGTTTATAGCCTGTTTCACATAAGCAAGGCCTTGTAAATCTCAAACACATGCAAAATCTGCATTCATAATTAGGCAAAAAATACTACTGTTTTTAAAACAAGGTCTCCTACAGTAGACCGAAAGGCCTCCAGGCACCTGCCAGCTAAGAACAGAGCTGACATCAGGGTCAAATCCAAAAACCAACCATATTCAGGATTGCTCACAGGTGACCCCCTCCTGCCTTTTTTTCTTATTTATTTTTTTGCTATCAAAATCCTATTTCCATACTCTGATGAAAAAAAATAGAAAGACAAGAGAATAGAAAGGAATAGAAAGACAAGAGAATGCAATACTAGAAAACAGAAGATTGATCCTTGCAGTCTTCATCAAGCAACGTTCCGTTAGAATTAACTGAGTGTGATCAGCATGACTTTTTCCACACAAATGAAATTTTGTAATTCATTCCCTGAAATATGCTAATTTTGAATTCTACCCTTGAGGCCATTGCCACCTACATAATTTTGCCAAAGTTACATCCAGAGACCTCCTAAAAAGCCAGTAGTTGACTTATATCGATTTTACAAACATTCATAATTATCAAAATTCTCTTACAGATATATTCTCTCCACATACCTATTGCTACAAATCTGCCTTTAGCCATAATACAGGAAGTTCTGCTGCAAACTCACCCAAAAGGCTCCAAGCACTGATGCAACAGCAGAACTGAAAACAGTAAGGGATTCTTAATACAGAGTACAAAGTGATACTGAAGGCTCTGTAAAAAGCTCCGCAGTCAGTAGAGTCAGAGAGGAGTGCAGATTTTTCCTGTTAGACAGCCCATATGATGCCTCTGCAAAAAGGACCAGCCAGTCCCCTGCACAAGCTGGTGACAACCAACCAACCAACCAACCAAGCAACCAAGAGAATCAGCTGGACTGTGACAGAACCAGGTCCCACTGGGACCATCCAGCCTCACAGCTCCTAAGGAACACAACACGCCAAACCTGACAGCTCCCATCAGAGCTACCACAGAAGACACAGGTGATAACAACCTTTCAGACACAGTCATTGCTTTCCTACATTCCCACCGCAGCAGCCACAGGCTAAGGCAAGCTGGCAGCTGGAGGACTGAATGCAGTTTGCAAGGTTCAGCCTTCATTTTCATTTGGGATCGAGGGGCATGCAGTGCAGTCATCCCTCCCAGCACCCACAGTGTGACTGGCAGCCTAAGGCAACAGCAGCCGTGCAGAAACCAACAGAAAAGTGAACCACCTACTCCAATGTCACCCAGACAAATCCAAAAAGGGAATCAATTTCCCAGCTTAGTTTAACTATGTTTCCACAACTAAACAGCATGCCATACATTGGCTAAGTTAATTGCAGATTACTTTAAGGGTAAAAGGCAGCTTCAGCACATGACAACAAAATAATCAGATACAAAAGTTGAACTTTCTTTCTTTGAAACTTTACTCATGACTTCAATAAACTACAAGAATCTGACCAGAACAACAGTTCCCAGCCTGTCCTGTAATTGCTGCAAAATATTAGGATCAGATATGCTGAATCACAAGAGGTTACACAGAGCATTATGAAACACCGCTGTGTTTCATAACTATTCCAAAGTTCCTACACTCATTTCAGTCTTGTGTCCACCATGCAAACCCTGAACTACTGAGACAATGTGGTTTTGGCATCTGCTGAGCTTGGCCATGTTTTCAGCCAGTGTTTACATACGCTACTTTACAAGGCCAACAATTCACCTTGCAACAATTTTACAAGTACTCAGAAGAATGAGAACTGTTCACTGAATCTGAACAGTTTCTACTGCTGAAGT